TGCTCCCCAATTTTATCCTACTAATTTCTACTGGCGACCTTCAATGTTATTCCTAATTCCTATGTGTGTCAGTATGGAGAAGAGTAATGGGAAGAAAAAGAGAGCTTCAAAAAGGAAAAACATTAGAAGACTCAGAAAGATGTTGATATCTATGTTAGAGTATCTTTTTATATGAAACTAGAGGCCCGGTGCACAAAAATTTGTGTACTCAGGGGGAGAGGGGGGTTCCTCAGCCCGGCCTGTGCCCTCTCGCAGTCTGGGACCCCTCGGGAGATAACGACCTGCTGGCTTAGGCCTGCTCCGGGTGGCAGAGGGCAGGCCCAATCCCTAGGTGCAGCCCCTGGTCAGGCTCAGAGCAGGGCTGATTGGGGAGTTGGGGTGCCGCCCCTTGTCATGCACAGAGCAGGGCGGATTGGGAGGTTGCGATGCCACCCTCAGTCATGCTCAGGGTAGGGCCAATTGGGGGGTTGGGGCACCGCCCCCTGTAACACTCAAAGCAGGATCGATGGGGAGGTTGCGGTGCCACCCCGTCACGCACCAAGCAGGGCCAATCAGGGGGTTGGGGCGCTGCCCCCTGTCACGCACAGAGCAGGGCCAATCAGGGGGTTGGGGAGCTCCCTCCTGTCACACACAGAGCAGGGCGGATCAGGGGGTTGGGGCGCTGCCCTCTATCACCCACAGAGCAGGTCCGATCAGGGGGTTGGGGCGCCGCCACTCTCACACTCAGGGCAGGGCCGATGGGGAGGTTATGGCTCTACCCCATCACACACAGAGCAGGGCCTGGGGGGGTGGGGGTTAGGGCGCTGCACCCTGTCACACACAGAGCAGGGCCGATCAGGGGGTTGGGGCACCGCACCCTGTCACACACAGAGCCGCAGGGTGATCAGGGGGTTGGGGAGCTCCCCTCTATCAGGCACAGAGCAGGGCTGATCAGGGGGTTGGGGCACCTTCCCCTGTCACGAACAGAGCAGGGCGGATAGGGAGGTTGTGGCCCCGCCCCCTGTCACACACAGAGCCACAGGGCGATCAGGGGGTTTGGGCGCTGCCCCCTGTCATGCTGATTCCGGTGCCAGGAGGCCTCGCGGCTCCGCTTATCCTGGTGCTGGGAGGCATATTACCCTTTTACTATATAGGATTGAGGCCTGGTGCATGGGTGGGGGCTGGCTGGTTTGCCCTGAAGGGTGTCCTGGATCAGGGTGGGGGTCCCCACTGGGGTGCCTGGCCAGCCTGGGTGAGGGGATGATGACTGTTTGCAGCTGGTCACACACCCTTCAGGGTGGGGGTCCCCACTGGGGTGCCTGGCCAGTCTGGGTGAGGGGCTGAGGGCTGTTTTCAGGCTGGTGGGTGACTGAAGCTCCCAACCACTCCTTTTTTTCTTTTTTTATTCTGGGCCAGCTTTAGCTTTGAGGCTTGGCTCCAGCTCTTAGGCCTCCGCTGCTGAAAGCAGGTATCTGACCTTTGTTTACCTTCTGTATTTGAAACAATGTTGCGATCCTGCTGGCTGAAGCCCAGCGACTAAAGCAGGTTTCTGAGGTTTTGTTTAGCTTCTATATTTGTAACATATTTGTAACATTGCTTAGAGTTGCAGCTCAGAGGCCAGCAGCAGCAGGTGGGGAATGTTGGAGTCCTCCATCACTGAAGCAAGCAAGCCTCCCTGTTCGCGTCAGCTGCCTGGCTGCCGGCCGCCATCTTGGCTGGCAGTTAATTTGCATATAGCCCTGATTAGCCAATGGGAAGGGTAGCGGTCGTACGCTAATTACCATGTTTCTCTTTTATTAGATAGGATAGCCAAGTTCTTACAACTCTACCTTAAGCAGCAGAATAATATAAATACTACAGTTACTTAAGCATCCATGAATAAACATTCCATTGCATGATTACGAAGAGATAAAGAAAAAAAATAGAGTAAGAAAAAGAGATACAGGAGAGAGAGAAGGAGGAGGGAGAGGAGAGAGAGACGGGAAAGGAGAAGGAAAGTAAAGAAGGGGAGGGAGAAAGAAAGAGAAGGTGGGAGGATAAAAATGATCAGAAAATGTGCTTTTCAAAAAATAAGAATTATGCAAATATAAATATGTTATTAGATCTACCATCTAAGCCCTCTAAAAATCATATTTATTGTTTAAAATGTACACAATTACAAGTATTTCAGAATTGGAGAATCTCCATTTCATTTTAAAAGGACAGTGACCTAGAAGAAAACATTTGATTGAGAGTCACATAAAAGAAAAGAAAAAAGTTTTTCTCTTTAAAAAAAATCACAAAATTCAGTATTCTTTTCACCTAGTAAAAAACTGCATACAATCTAAAAGGAGCAAAGCTGAGTTCCATCAGGGAGTGGGAAAAGAAGAAACTAGTAACGTCAAAAGGAGAAGAGGAGAGAGGAGTGAATGCAAAGGTAGCTAAGAATAAACAAAGTGAAGCATGACAGAAAAATTACAGGGAACAAGGCTGTAAACTGCAAATTTTGGTTTGGTAATAAAGGAACCTCTTCCTCCTTCAAAACTTGCTTCATTAGTGATAGCCTTTATCTCCATTGGTGGCACCACCCTTTACCCAGCCACCCATTAAAAATCTGGGAGTCTTTAATCTAGCCCAGTCCAGATCTAACCACCAGCTTACAGCAAATACAAGGGACAGCTGTGCAGTTTTTTTCATCAATCCTGACTTAACCCTCCAGTTTACTGGGGGTTTACTGCATACCCTATGCTGCTTCCTACCTTTGTGCCTTTGCTGTACTGTCCCTGCTAACTATAATGCCTCTCTTTTCTCATCCTCTTACCCTATTTAACTCAAGAAGCTCCCCCACCCAAAACACTCCCTGCCCAAATACTGATTGGTACCCCTTCTCTCTACTCCCAGATTGTGCTACACAAATCTCTTTCACTAACCAAGTACCACAGTTAGCTTTTGGGAGACTCTTTTCCACCAGTCTGTAACCTTTTCTGTTTTATCTTTGTAAGCCCAATGAATCACCCAGGGCCTGGCATTCTGAAACACACTAAAAAATGTTTACTGATCAGCCCTAGCCATTTGGCTCAATGGATAGAGTGTCAGCCTGCAGACTGAAGGGTCCTGGGTTTGATTCCGGTAAAGGGCACAAGCCCAGGTTGCGGGCTCAATCCCCAGTGTGGGGCATGTAGGAGGCAGCCAATCAATGATTCTCTCTCATTGTTGATGTTGTTATCTCTCTTCCTCTCTGAAATCAATAAAAATATATTTTAAAAAATAAAATATTTTAAAAAATGTTTACTGATTAAATGAATGGACAGTTAGAGTGAAAGTTAAATGGCACGTGATACAGTAAGTTCCCCATCTCTGAGAGTTTTCATGTAAATCTGAATATTTTAGGAGAATTGTCATACTGGATAGGAGATGTAATCTACTATATAACTGTGATATTCCTTCCATTTCTACACACTTATTTGCCCAACTCTCTGACTTTAATTCAGAGTTGTAATATTTAATAGTAGGGGTATATGACACATACTTTATACAGATTATTTTTATGAGTTTTATACTTATTCAATGTATGGCCTATGGCTGAAATGTCATCATAAACAGCTTATTAAAATGTGCTAACACAAAGGACCCCGAAAAGCCAAAGCAACCCTGAGAGAAAAAGAAAGCAGTAGGCATCACAATTTCCTATTTCAAGCTATACTGCAAAGCTACAGTAATCAAAATAGCATGATACTGACAAAAAACAGACTCATAGACCAATGGAACAGAATTGAGAGTCCAGAAATAAACCCAAGCATAGATGGGCAATATTTGATGAAGGAGCCAGGAATACTCAATGGAGTAAAGTAGAAAACTGGATAATCATGCAAAAGTATGAAATTAGACCCCTATCTTACACCACTCATTACCTTGACATGGATTAAACACTTGGACATAAGACCTGAAAACATAAAACTCCCAGAAGAAAACATAGGCAAAAAGCTGCTAGACTAATCAATAAAGAAAAAGTAAAAAAAAAAAAAAAAAAAAAAAAGCTCCTAGACATGGTTCTTGGTAATGATTTTTTGGAGATGACAACTAACACATGAGCAACAAAATAAGAAATAAACAAGTGGACTACATCAAACTGAAAAGCTTCTGCATTATAACAAAAAAACCTATCAACGAAAAGACAACCATGAAATGAGAAAAAAATGTACAAACTATATATCTATTAAGGGATTAATATCCAACCTATACAGGGAACTCAGACAGCTCACTAGCAAAAAAAAAAAAAAAACAACAAAAAACCCCCAAATAATCCAATTAAAAATGGGCAAAGGATCTGGATAGACATTTGTCCAAAGAAGATATATGAATGGCCAATAGGTACATGAAAAGATGCTCAACATCAATATTTATTAGGGAAATGCAAATCAAAACCACAATGAGATATTATCTCACAGCTAGCATGAAAAGAGATAATAGATGTGGGGGAAAAGGGAACCCTCATGCACTGTTGGAAGGATTGTAAATTGGTACAGCCACTACAGAAAACAGTATGGAGTGTCCTCAAATTTACAATAGGACTACCATATGATTAAGGATCCTATTTCTGGAAATATATCCAAAGGAAATGAAAACACTATTTTGTAGAGATATTATTGTACCCCATGTTCATAGCAGCACTATTTACAATATCCAAGACATGGAAATAACTTAAGTGTCCATAGATGAATGAATTAATAAAAAAATTTGATACACACACACAAACACACACACATACACACACACACACACAATGAAATAACAAGAAGAAAATTGTGCCATTTGCAAATAGATTAATGTTGAGGGCATCGTGTTAAGTAAAATAAGTCAGACAAGAGAAAGAAAAGATGATGGGTGTTAACTAGTTACTGTGGTAATCATTTCACAAATATACAAGTCAAACCATTATGTTGTGCACCTTAAGCTTCTACAGTGCTGTATGTCAATTATAGCTCAATAAAACTGGAAAAAACAACACTCAAAACATGTGCAAGCATATTTATATGACTTACTGAACACATCTCCTCTGGGCTTCTGAGGCTCTGTCTGTATCCTGTTGTCAACTGTAATCTCTCTTGGAGATGTGGTAGTAGCTGGTGCTATAGTGGTCAGTCTGATGATTGGTCTTTCCTGCGTTGGTGGTGGTAGAGGCCTTCTGAGTTCTGTGGGAGGCGGTGGGGGCGGGGGGGTGGCAGGCCATGTTGTTGGTTTTGGTGTAGGTCTTGTTGTTGGCTTAGAAGTCGGCCTGTTGGTAATGACAGGAGGAATATATGGTGTCCTCAGAGGCCACCTAGTACTTCCGACATCAGGAATCCAATTACCGTGTCCTCCATCACCCTTTGTAATGGTACCATTTCCCTGTGGTGCATGAATTGGACCTGAAGGTTCAATCATCACTTTCGGAATATCTAAAAGAGTCAAAAGATTTAAATTAGTGTGTAACCCAAAAGGTAAAATATCAAATTGTAAAAAACAAGCATATCAAAATATGTGCCAATTAGATTTACTTTTCACATTTAGAATATTCCCCTACTGTAAATCATGCTGTTTTCCAAATAACAAATATGTGCATATATGATATATGATACACATTCATCTGGTGGGTGAATGCAAAAATTATATTGGCATTTCTATAATAAATTTGTGTTATTTGAAACACAAAAAAGTTGTGTTTGTAAAGTGGGAACAGATGGTAATCAATGAGATTTTTAAAATGCACAGATGTTCTAAATTTTTAAAATATGAAAAATGTATATATAGAGTCTATATTAAGTGTCCCTATGGTACATGTATATCATAAAAATCATATTTAGAATTGTCTAAAGACTAATTTCTCTTCCACACTTTATATAAACTTGACTCACGTAAAACATTTTTAATAAATGTTATACATATTATTTTAGTTGATTTTTCTTCCCACTTATTAATGTATATAATTGCTTTTTTAAAAGAAATTTTCAGAGGTCACCAAGATCATCTGTGGAATATTTTTCCTTTATTATCTTCATCCAAAGAAATTAATATATAATCGGTCTGATACGATATACTCCTGGGGGAGCATAACACTTCAAAAATCCTTTAATCCCCATGATTTTATGCCCCAGGATTTTTAGTAAATATTTTACTCAGAAATTTTAAAATTTATTGTTACATGAAATATATGCTAAATTATGGACTTCAGTTTGTAAAACTTTCATCGTGGAGGGTATTTTTTTCATGTTTATCTACTAATGTATTCATACTACAAACAGAGCTTATAAAAATTTAAAAAGCAAAATAGTACTAAAGGTAGAGAAAACACATAAATAAGGGAATATTTTAGAATTAGGAGACATAATAAAATGAGGAACCAAAAATGTAGACCATATTCTGATTATCCCACTATCATACTCTAATGCTAATGACAAACATTTATTTCTAATTTTAAGAAATTCTCTGGGAGGGCTCTAAAATTTGTCAGCTAAAGGGAAGCTACAGAGAAATTTTTGTCAAATAATGGAACGCTTTTAAGCGTAGAAAGTATGACTGAGTCTTTAATTTTTAAAAATACCAGAACACGTGATTCTATTGTTTGTAGAAAGCAGAGACTAATATTACCAGCAATGAAAATTTACTTTTTTGATCAATTAATCATGATCCTTTACTCCCCCAATAACAGCTCTTGTGCAAACTAATTCCCTGCTGGGGAATGTAGAGCCAGAAGACCAGTGTTACTCACACACGCAGCTCAGTCCGTCGCCGTGGTATCCATCTTTACATTTGCATTTGTAGGACCCATGTACGTTGTAACACTGAGCAAAGCTGCTGCACTGATACTGACCCAGGGAGCACTCGTCTATATCTGCATCATGAAGTAGGGAAAAGAGATGTTTATTGGGGAGATAAATAGAATGACATGAAAACATATAGACAGTTTCAAAAACAGTTTTCTGCAATGCGAAGGTCCATGTAAAACTGGCAGATAAACCAAAGAAATAAACTGCCTGTGCATCCCAAGGTACTGGGGGTTGAACTGGACTCCTGTTTGTTTAGTGCCAGAACCTCCCCCGCCCACCATCTCCCACCCCTAGCAAGTCAGTCTTCAGCACAATTAAGAGGCCAGAGGAAGAAACAGGGAAAAGCCAAGACTGGGGCTCCTTACCGTGACATTGGTATTTGCCTCCAATGTACATGAGGTCGAAGCCTTTATGGCACTTGCAGATATAACTCCCAAAAGTGTTGACACACTGCCTAAATCTAGGGCAGGAAACTCTTCCAGTAGCACATTCATCAACATCTGAAACATAAGCCAACTGTATTTTCGGAGCATGTTCAGATGAAGTGTATTTTAAAATAAATAACTGCCTGCAAATGGTTGCCTGGCACACAGTGACTCATCATAGACATTAGCCAGCTGTTGGCCCCACAGGCACCATAAATTCCACATCTCCATCTTTCAATTCATCTCCCTCACCCAGGCTGCCCTCCTACTGAAAGGCATCTTAGCACACACTGCACCTGTATCCACCTAGTTGCTTGAACTAAAACATGAGTCATTCTTGACAGCCCTATTTCCCTTAACCCTAAGTCGTCAGGCCCACTTAATTCTACCTCTGAAAGACTATTTGAATTTGTCTCCTCTTCTCTTCACCCTCTGCCACTACCCTAGTCCAAGCTACCATCTTCCAGGTCTCCTAACCTGACCTTTCCTGGACAAGCTTACCTCCTCCAAAGCATTCCCACTCAAGTCGAAATAATTTTATTACAACATGTAATTGGATTAGTGCCATGCCTAAAGCTCTTCTACTGTTTCTATTTGCTTTCTGAATTGAATCATCATTCCTCACCAGGTCCTTGAAGGCTCTATAATAAACAGGCTACCTCACTGGTGGTATCTTAAGTCATCGCCCCTTATGCTCCCACTCTGTACTGAAGCCACATTGGGGTCTTGTTCACTTCAGTGCCTGTATTGTTTCCACCTGCTTGGCTGATTCTTCACATGGCCAATGGCCCAGGTCTTACTTCAGGCTTTCCTTGACCATTATTTTCTAAAATAGACCCTCTCTGTTTCTTTCTCTTTCTCTCTCTCTCTCTCTCTCTCTCTCTCTCTCTCTCTCTCTCTCTCTCTTCCTCATATTAACACATAGTATTGTTTGTAATGTTATTGGATACTAGAGGCCCAGTGCACGGGTGGGGTCTGGCTGACCTGCCCTGATTGGAGCTCACTGGGCTGGGCCAGCCGGGGGGAGGGGCCATGGAAGGTTGGCTGGCCAGCCCCGGCCCCAATTGGGCCGGCTGGCCAGCCACAGTGCATATTATAGTGACTAGTCATTCTGGCTTTCATATATATATATATATATATATATATATATATATATATATATATATATATATATACTTCTTTGCTGTCTCTGCACCATTAGAATATCAGCTTTGTGAGGATCAAAACCTTGTCAGCTTTTTCCATTACTGTACATCCTGCACTTAGCATAGTGCCTGGAGTATAGAGGGTAATCAGTAAATGTCTCTTGAATCACTGAATACCTCCCTTCATTGAGTACTTACTATGTGCTAGGTTGCTAAGCTCTTTCTATACATGAGTTCATTTAATCCTTACAATGGTTCTATGTGTCATTACTCCCATTTTAAAGATGACTTTGACTCAAGTTCAAAGAAAGGAAGTCTCTTGCCTAAGGTTACATACCAAGTATATGGCAGAGTTGAATTTAAAACCAAAGCCCTGGCTCTTACCACAATCCTATACTACCATCCCTAATTTTAAGGGGGGAAATCTAACTCTTAAATGCAATACATACAATCTAGTGCTATCTACCTGTTCAGTTTCATCAGTCATTGCCCCTTACATTCTAGAAATACTAAGCTCTGTTTCCCTGAACATTTTGCTCCTTGGAATTTCAATGCCTTTGCAGATGTGGTTCCCTCTGCCCCAAGCTTTCTCCTGCCCTTCATTTTTAGAAAAAAAAAAGTTTCTATAGTCTATTCACAGAGAGGGGTCCTCTTCTGGGACATCTGATATCTTGATATCTTCTAAAGGATAGCTAAGACTTGATGTAAGCAACTGCCTTTTTTTCTTATTCACATCACCTTTCACATTCTTCCTTTCCCTAGAGAGACCACAGTCAGAGAGGCTTGGCTTTACAACTCACCCACACAGGTTCTCCCATCTGGGGCCAGCTGGAGGCCAGGAGAGGGGCACTGGCACCGTATCTGTCCTTTGATAACATCACAGCCATACTGACAGTTTGCCATGGAGCACGTCAGGCCACCTGGAATGAGTATGACTGGCTGACTCTGAGAACAAACTCTACAACTGAAATCACTACGCTCTTAACCTGTCCTGAAATCAGCGACACTGACTCAACAATGAAGACAAAAAAAGGCCTCAATTATTCAACAGGGACCGAACGACTGTCTTCCTCTAGGGATCAGGGGGATTACAAAGTGACCCAGCTCTGTTATCATCTGGGGAAGACCTCTAATGCATTTGAGGAATTCCAAGACAAATGTAAAGCTTAATCTCTTATAGGTTATCTGTAAATTTTCCCAGTGGCTAAAAACAGTGGAAAATTGAGGTTATTTTCCCCAGATTATTCATGCTAAGTGCTGGTCTCAAGTGAAGCATCCACATAATTGTGTCAAGCTCCCATTAAATTTCTCTAGGGACAGCAGATTTCCCACTGAGTTGGGCAATGCTAGAGGAATTGAGCATCCCTGTCACATGTGATTTAACATGAACCCACTTCATTCCAAAATGTCTCATGCTAAGTAGGCCATGCTAAATGAAATTAGCTAACCTTTTTTATTTTATAAAACACAACTCAGAGAGAGATAGTGGATGACTGACTGACTGATAATTAGCTAATTTATCTGATAATTCAGTAAAAATAAAAATCAAATCACCGATTGTTGGATATCCTATACATACAACCTCAATTCAATGTTCAGCCTGCAGAGAATTTGATGGCACCATCCATCTTATAACACATCCAAATGATAGTAGGAAATCTTTTCTGTTACTGAAATCATTCATTTTTTGTCATTTGAAGTGGATATTAATAAAAGGGATATAACTTAATCCTTAGACTATGACACTGAGATGTAAAAATGAAGTGAGAAGGTATTTGTGAGCTGTTTATAACGGAACAACAGGCTTGATGGATTCTCTACCAGCAAATAGTTTAAAGCTCATCTTTATGGGCAGCACAATGGTCCTAAAATAATCACTGATGCTCCCCTTCTAGCTGGAATAGCTCTAGGCCCAGAGTGACAAAAGGGAAAAACATGTTGGGAAAAACATAAGAAAATACACTTAAGTTTTATTCTTCTTCTTCTAAAACCATTTCCAAATCAATTTAATGCTGGCACCCAGGATAAAAGACCTCTAGCCATCTAAAAGGGGCAACCCTTCTTTCGATTTTCAATTGCTTAGGGACACACACTCCCATCCTGTCTGGGCGGCCACCTTCATTCTCACACCACCAGAGCACAACATGAAGGAAGTCAAGCCCACAGCACTTGTAAAACAATTAAGATTCTCGACATACTTGAGCAGGACCCATCAGGCATCAGCATGTACCCGTTGAGACAGTAGCACTTGTAGCTGCCGTAAGTGTTCATACACCTGTGCTTGCAGGGCCGCGGCTTCAGGCCACACTCATTCAGATCTGAAAAGAGTGGAAGTTGAAGCAGAAAAATCACAAAATGTCCGCACAAATGTAAACCATTTGAAATACTTCTCTATATTGAAAAAATGAAGAAGAAAAGTGGGTCAAGCTACGGTAACCGGTTATTTACATAAGACGGAGCCTGTTCACACTGTCTTAATTTTAAGGCTGGCTACACTAGGGGCAACCAAGAGTTTCCTACAAGAGGTGACTGAAAGCCTTATAACAATGAAGAGGCCGTGTGAGTTCCTGGAGCTTACGTTATATAGGACATGTGATTCCGTCCTCCGTAGTATACTGTGCCTACCGCATTGTCCCTAGAAAGAGCAGCATACTGACTCCTCGTAGTGCTCTGTCATCTATCTGACTTCAATATCCTCAAAATATCTGGGTTCTACTCCTAGAGTCACTCTTGACAACACGTTCTTCCTCTATCGACTTATTCCCCTCTTTGTTTAAAGAAGATATGAGAAAATATGCTGATTCTAACAGTAGACTGCTTTGAACTTCCCAAAAGAAAGCTCCATCTCCAGAGGCTAAGAGCTACATAAATGAGACTGATCACAATCGTGGTTTTCCTTGTTCAATCTTATAGATTATATACTGATCTCAGGTTAAAGAAGGAACTTCTGCTTCCTACTTTAGTAATGTACTCAAATCATGAAATAAACTTTAAACAAACAACAACCCTCCAGTATGTTTTCATTCATTTGGTAGCTAAGAGGAGCATATGGAAATACTAATGAATAATACATAATGGACTATCATTATGTATTTTAGGATTATTGGTTTAAATACCAATATGAAATTAATTAATAAATTGCACATTAGAATTTTCTAACCCAGTTGAACACTGCCTCAAGTGAACATAAAGCTCATAATGACACATAAACACTGCAATAGTAATGCCCAAAATATAGATTTCATTAAAAAGAAATATGACCACATGTTCATTTGGAACTGCCAGTATAATATGATGACCTATTAACCTATGTCATCAAAGCAGATTTCTAGTTGCAAGTTTAATCTAATATAAATCTGACCTGCTGTTTATTAAAAATCTATATATTTCACTTAACTAAACCACCAACTTACATTGCTTTTTAAAACCTGCAAATTATCGCACCTAAATTTTTTTTATATAATTTACTGACTTTCCAACGGGGTCTTTTTTTCTAACTTTCACACACCTGTTAGCAGGTCCCCAGCTGGGTGAAGCCTGGGAAGATTAAATAATAAGCAGTTGTCACCCCCCAAGGCTTTATTCAATTTTATACTTTATTGCATCTTGCCCAGTGAAGGCTGTACAAAACAGAATTGTATTTTAGGATAGTTCAAAAAAAGTTTTCCTCAAAGAAGATGCTTTGCAGATTGTAATATCATCAAAAATGTGACTTCTCCCTCTATTAGAGTGAAAATTTTAAATCAACAATGAAAGTAAAAGAAATTCATTCCACTTCTCATATTCTTCTACTTTGTATGTCAATATTTATTAAAAATTCAAGTTAGAGAATCTTTCCTCATATTCTCGGAGTTGATTTTTATTCCTCATATGTCCCTGCAGATTCACACCTGGCTTTGATAAATCCCTGATATTATAGAATGTAGTATTTAAATCTGAGTACACTGCTAGACAAAGGCTTTGTGCTTTAAGTATTTTTCTCACTAAACTAAAAGAAAATGGTACAGTACAACAAGACAACAGAGTTAGGCCGAATTCCATATCTCAAGGGTAGGATATTCGTGGATAAGTAAAAAGTGTCAATTAAGAACCCTTAGGTTTATTGTTAAGGAGACAGAAACTTCTGTGGGTTTCCTGATGGGAACCGGTCAGGTATTTATAGCTCCAGGCAGCTTATATGCACGGAGTATTTATGCTGATGGAGATTTCTACAGACACTGTCTCTGGACTAAAGCGGAGGCCCCGCTGAGGCAGCCGCTGTCTTGGCCAATAAAGGGCTCCTTAGCATTGCTCTGCAGGACTCCACGAGTCAGACTGGGGAAGCTGGTGCTCTTCAACCCCAATCAATCCTTCCCTCCCCGTGAGAAAAAGTACTCTGGGGTTAAGAAACACGAAATTGAAAGAAAATGAAACATCGGTAAGGTGTCCTAATTCCAAAAGAAGCTGGGAATCACTCTGAAACAATATGCAACAAGGGAACATGCATCGTTCAATGGTATGTGTAGAGACATCGGTTGACTATTTTAATGTTGTTAAATTGACATGTAAATATACAAATATGTTGGGAGCAATCTGAGAAAGCCTGCTCTGCCGGCCGCTGCGGGAGCGCCTGGCTCTCCGTGCCAGTTCCCAGGTGTTGAAGTTCACAGTGACTGCCCTTACTCTCCCACCTGCCACAGGCACCTGTCTGCTCAAAACTTCACATGAGCCACAGCAGAAATGATGAAATAGGGTTCCAGCATAATCCATACTTATCAATATTTACCAAATACCAGACTTTTGCTCAAGCAGGGAGCTTCTAAAGATCAAAAGCATCCAATATCCTGGGGATGAACTTCTTCTTCCCCAATTTTTTGTCAGGTTTCCATCTTTGATTATAATATCTTATTTTCTTAGTGACCTGTTGCCTTAGAAAACTGAGTTAATATAGGCTGCTTCCAAAAATCTCTTGGAATACGTTCCTATCAAATTAAGTCAGAAATTCAAAAATGACACTTTCAACTTATAGTAAATGCTCCTATAATAATAAGTGGAACAATATAAATAACATAAAAGTCTGCTTGATTACACTTCATAAATCTTAAAAGTTGATAAAGAAACCTAAGGAAAAAATCTTCAGTGTGTTTATTTTAAATTTACTTTAATCTTGCTCTTTCTCTAGGATTTTATAATGTAATATAAGTTAAAAAGGAAATATTTAATTAAAAAATTAATGAATTCTATCATGGACTTATCACACAAAGAACAGAACTTTACAAGTAAACCATTTACATTCAAATGATTTAATTATTAAATGTGCAATTCTTAAAGAGCATCTATAAGTCAGGAGTATACTTAAGCAGGTCGGTGGATTCAGGAGCTTGAGGGAGGGGGACAGGGAGAAAGGAGCTGGTCTAGAACAAAAATGCAAGCTGCATAGCATTATAATTACACTTCAGGGGGAAAAAGAACAGAAATTTTATTAGCATGCAGACGCTGGAAAGTAGCTTGAAAATCTCCAAGAGATTCACTACATAAGACAACCCAATAGGGGTTTTTTAAGGGAAAATAATTATTTGTTTAAAGCACTTGCACTTTTTTTTCCCCTTGAGACTTAAACTGGGCAATGACTCAAAAGTCTAAGCCTTTACATTTTATCTGACTAAAGTGGAGGTCAGAGGGAAACAGATGTCAATATGTCAACAGCCATCACTTTTAAACTTTGAAGATAGCAGTGACACAGTGACTGAGATTAATCCCATGGCCCTGATTCTTTGTGCAGAAGATGTACACATCCATCAAGTCCCCCATCAGCAGAGAGAGTAATTTCTAATTTATAGGATTTTAATTCAGGCATTCTATGTTTCTCAATCTATCAGTGGGTGAGGGGTAACTTTTTTTAGGAGAACTGTAAAGGCATGCAGCCACCTGACCTTCCTACAAAACTTTCCAGCGTAATGAAGACACTAATATTTGGGGTGTTTCCATTCTCACAGCAGCCCTGCAGGTAAACAGGCAGGAATTACTCTCCTCCTATCACTAATTGTTGTGCTAACACCCAGACACATGACATGACTTGCTCCTTACGGGCTGTGCTAGAAACAGAACTTAGGCTTTCTAATATCAGAAAATGTACACGAAATGAAGGGAGCTAATGTATGTTTCATTTCTGGTAACCTAACACGCTACACCCTAAGGATGGTGGTGAAGAGGGCTTGCTCACTTCTACAACCTACTTAGCAAAAGCCATCAAAACCCCAATCTCAGTTGCTCTGATATTCCTGACTTCATCTACATACGAAAACAAAAGTGATTTTGTTGTGTGATTTTTAGAAAACACTTTGAAGCCCAGAAAAGAAGAAGAGGAGCAACAACACTTGATGCAGTGAGAGGACAGCAGAGGCTCCAGGCAGCAGAGCACAGAGAGTCTGCAGCAGGCGCCGGCCCTGCTGCCTGCTCCACATGCTCAGTGCTGAGGCTGGGCGCTCTGGGGCGCGTCTTCGGAACAGGTGCAAGAGGTGGCACACCGCGGGAAGCCGTGCAGGTAGGAGGAGCAGACCCCCCGAGACAATGCACGCTCACCCCTTGAAGGTAAACTTGTGGCTTGCTGATCCAGGGGTTGGAAAAGAGGCTGCTCACTGCCTTGGTCAAGAGGAGTTGAGTAGGAGTGCTCGTCTTCACACCAGGAGGAAGGTAATAAGAGTCAACTTTGAACTGATGTCATTTTTAGCCCTAAAAATCTTTATAAGTATATATTAAACAATTACATCAAGTTGGTGGAGTTCAAAAAGAATACTTTACCAAAGTTAGTTTCTAGTTTTTCCAGTTTCTCTCTTTTTTTTTTTAAATTTTTACTTTCCTGAAAATTTGTCACCGCCATCTTTCTTCCCAAGAACATACACACACACAGTACAAGTTAATCCGTCATTCTCATACAAATTTAATGGGGGGAAAAAAACAGTAAAAAAGAGATAGTCATTTTTTAAAAAACATGATTTTAATCACCAACGAGAGAAAACTAAAAGAACAAATAAACAATGATGATACAAATATTGATTATAATCAACCTGCTGTGTGTCAAGATCCTGAAGTCTTAAATGACCAACTTATGACTTTTTCTTATTATGTTGCACAATAGTTTAAAATACTCCAAAATTACACACAAAGTTATGATTTACATAAAGACTTTATTTAAAAAGATAGCATGATCAATGTTTTCACTCAAATATAAAAACTTATGTCACATTTAGGTCACAAAATAAAGTAACTGTTCCCATGGTTAGCTTACTAAAAATATTGTGAGATGGGTGAGATTCAAAAGTAGAGGGTCAAAAAGGCACTCATATCCTATTTAAAGACTATTGCATTGGTAATAGTCAGTTAAACTTCCAAATTAAATGAACACTGGTGTCTGTATTAAAATCACACAACCTTCAAAAAAGTAAGGCTATAAGAAATTACCTCAATATTAGGGTTAATGCAGATAGGCTGTTGTGCTGAGAAAAGCAATCAACTCGGAGAATTAACTAGTCCACCAATGTTTACTGTCTGATTATGTGCTACAAGACACTAATTCTTTTCTCGGGGTAAGGAATTCAACATATGACACATGAACCATGTCAAAACATTAGTAACTGATGTGTACAAATTGTTTCTTCTGTACACATTATAAAGCACGCTATGAATTCAAAAGAATATCTTTCCTTAAAAACCGCAATGACATGATATATTCCATGCTAAAAATAATTCCCTAGTGGGAAAGTTATAAAAATATTATTATCTCTAATAGTATCTTTTCTTGGCTGAGGTGGAAAGGGGATTCGTATGGGTACATAGAGACTCAAGGAGGGGGGAAATACGCAAGAATAAAATTGCCAGAGAAAGTAAGATGGAAAAAAAAAATCTTGCCAGAGTTCTGGTTAGAATTTCACCTACTGTGAAAGATACCACATACCTTATAGAATATGACAATGATCAGTCCAAGCCTATGGTTTTATATGTGCTCCGACTATAGCAATCCAGAAAATGACTGGAGGGGGAGCAAGTCACCAGGAGCAGATTATACTAATCTTGCGACAGGCTATTAAATGAAGCCAGTTCCAAAGTGGGCCTGCCCCGCTATCTGGCTGCTCCCCAGGCCGCGCCAACAGCGCTCAAGTGCTTGTCATTTACTCCTGCTGTCCATGCAGCCAAGCCAGCTCCCAGGGAATGACTTCTTAAAGTACACAATTTGCAACAAACTTTTTATGCAGATCCATGCCTTATACCCAAGCCAACTTTTAATCAAAAGTTAATATCTAGTTCTGTGAGATTATTTCAAGGTACCTCTTCTTGACATGTCTCTCCTCAAGAAAAAAAAGAAACTTATTTAATTTCCTGTATGTTTTCCACTTTATTAAAATGTATGGTCCAGATCAAAAGTCTACGCTAATTTGTTATGGAGACATAGAGCAGGTATAGACCATGTGCTCTATCAGCGTTTCTGGGGGTCCCTCGACAGCTCTCCGAGTTACCCCGCTCACTCAGGGCAGCTTCTCACAGGGCGCGTAGTCCACATGGTAACGGCTAAGGTACCAGACACCTCCATAGGACTGTTTCAAGTTCCTACAGCTTTCAGGACCAAGAACTCTTGTATGAAACAGTCACTCACTTAATAAATATTTACTGTACACTAATCCTGTGCAAGTCATTTTAATAATAGTTTTCAGGAACCCAAAAATCGGAGAGGCAATACAAAGGGTTCCTGTTCTCAAAGGGCATACTTCTTTCCATCAGGAACTTGCCTAATTGCTGTTTTGGTAAGGAAGGCCACAAGAAAGATGAATGAAACACATTCATCTTCACTGTAAGCTGGAGCTTTCTATTCAAGATTGGATTTGAAATGACATTTTCAATGTCAGCACAGTTTTTGCAGGTGTAAAATCCCATTTTGCTACTAATAGAATCCTTTTCCCCCTAAGGAACAGAGTTTTGGGAGGCAAGATTTCAACTCCATATATTTCAATTTTTCTCTAGAATTACTGGAAAAACAAACAAACACCCAACTGGTTTTTCTAAAAACAAGTGCATGGTGAACTCTTTATTCTGATAATAAGTACATGGTAAACTGGTTTTCTGAAAATAAGAGATACTCAGAGATGAATCCTTGTTCCAATAATAGCTTGAGAGTCTTCTGAAGCATATTAAAGTTGATGATGCTCTGCAAATTAATTTAAATGAATTTTCTCTGCAATCTCAATGGCAGCTATTTGGGATAATCTTCTTTGTATAAATTCCTGGCATCAGGACAAGAAGTTTTATGGTGTGGACATATTAATGACATCTCTGATGGTTTGTGTTCATCACTTTTAAAGAAGAAGCATGCTGGGACTCTAAGATGAACACTAATAACTCAATAATTAAAACCAAGCATGCTGCTACTTGAGAAAGACAGAAGAAGGAAAACCAAATGGATTTTTAAAAGAGTCAACTGAGGTAATAAGAACCCCATTTATTTAAAAAATACTACCCAGGCATGTCACGTAAATTCCAAGTTAAAAAAACATTATCTGAAAAGAAGCATTGAAAAAAATTGGCTACCAATCAAGTAGCAGATAATCTCGAAGACTCTAGAATAACAGCTTGTCCTACCATTGGACATGTCCCATTTTACTAGCATGGATTTCATCCAGCCGTGCAGAAACAATTAGCTGTACCTTCAAACACCAGTGTTCGGGATGTAGTGAAAACTACGTCTACAAACACGAGTTTATAGGCACACCTCAAAGAGTATCAGATACTGAAGAACAACAGTGCTTCAACACTATCATTTCTGTATCAGGTGAGGTCAAGTTCATATCTTTGAGAAAGTTAGACCCCTACATGATTGTTTCATTTGACATTTAAAATGACAGGGAGTATTGCTTTAAGTAATAAGTTAAAAACTGACTATTTTATCCTTGTATCTTTCTAGTGAACTCTAACCATACATTTTCTTTACTTCTGGGGTGTTTTTTTTTGTTTGTTTTTTGGTTTTTTTTGGTTTGTTTGTTTGTTTGTTTTTGTTTTGTGTGTGTGTGTGTGTGTGTGTGTGTGTGTGTGTGTGTGTGTGTGTGTTTTCTCCTAATGGTAGAAAGTTTTTGGTTAAAAAGGCAAGCCTTGTCAGACTTGTTAGCATGAACCAGAGGATCACATTTCCAATATTTTCTTCATCCACAACTAAATTGGTAAAAAGAACATGAATTGTATAGACAATAGCTCTAAGTTGATATAGTAGGTCTTTTACTAACTAATTCTATGAACTTGGACAAGACACTTAATATCCCTTCAACTAAACAATGAATATGTTATTTTTAATAACTTGATTATAATAAATACTCTACCTCCTGATGTTGTTGTAATAATCAAAATAGATAATATATGTAAAATACCTGGTGTACTCTCAGTGCTACATCAAGGCTTGCTTTTATAAGTAACTGATGCCAATTAAAAGTAACTTGCTAAGTCCATAAGAATCTTTACTTCTCAGAGAATACAAGCTGGTCAACAGTTAAAGGGAATTTAATCACAAAATAGAAGGGCTCAAAGTTTGAAGGGACCTCAGAATTTCAAATCAAACTTCCTACCTGACTGTGAGTATGAAGGCCTTTTCACCAAATTGGGTCCAATAAGCCTAATAAGGCTTCTCCACTGGTTAGTGGCAGAACAAGGAGCAGCGGAACGTAAGGCTTCTAACATTACTGACATTGCAATTCTCTTTTTCAAAATGCATTTTAATGATCAGCAGTGAATGAGAAGATGAAATTCTTTTAATTGTCCTTCAATGAAATGAATTCTAAAAGATTTACCATTATTATATTTCTATCTTTTAATAAATGCAGCTCAAATATGCAGAACAATCATGGAAAGTGGCCAGGCATGAGAACTTAACATTTTTATATCAGGCAGGAGTAGAGGGGGCTCATGATTGCTCACTGTGTCACACTCTCCCTACCTTGATTGCAGGTTTTGCCGGCATATCCAGGATGACACTTGCACTTGTTTGGTCCGATACATTCACCGTGTTTGCACTGTGGTTGACACACAGCTGTGAAAAGAGAATAGCATGCATTATTTCCAGATCAGCAGAACACCAACCATATAGTATCTACATCATGTACTAGCTTAGTAATAAAAAAACCCCAACAACTTAGAACGTATAAAAGGAGCAGAAATATACAAAATCACTGTGTTCTGGATTGGTAAGCACTGTCTAAACCACACATTGACACACCTGTGTTATATTCATGTGTGTGCGTGTGTGTATCACTTTGGGCTGAAAAATTGGCTGAACTTGAGGTCAATACTCTAATAGTCAGAAAAATATGTAAGACTATGCATAAACACAACTGGTGTTTGTTAATAGTTATAACTTTGCAATAACCTGTACTCATAACTTCAAACTCACTCTCTCAAATACACTGAAGTCCGTCCAGTGTGGCTCGGAGGTTGAGTGTCAACCCATGAACCAGGAACCAGGAGGTCTCGGTTCCATTTGGTAAGGGCACATACCCGGATTGCAGGCTAAATCCCCAGTAGGGGGTGTGCAGGAGGAAGCCGATCAATGGTTCTCTCTCATCATTAATGTTTCTAACCCTTTCTCACTCTCCCTTCTTCTCTCTGAAATATATTTTTTTAAAATACATTTCAAAAAGTTGTTCTTAATCCAAAGATATTGTCTAACTACAGATAAATTGTTTGAAGTCCAGATAAATTTCCAATTAAATAATAAAATACTATTTTATTGGAAACAGTATTCCTAAGTATAAAATGGTTCGAAATAAACACTGCAACTCAATCTTTTTTGGAATTTCAATTTAAGAATACCTCTGTCATCTTGCTTTTTCTTAACCTTAGGTGGGTCGCAATTGCTCATCAATCTATAATGGCTTTTCTATACCCTATCACAGCAAATAAAAATATCTATTTTTCATTTACTATCTTCTATCAACTGAGTTTGTCTTTCCTCAAGACCCAAAAATGCTACAAAATCATCATTTAAATTTTTCACAGTCTTTGATTCCTGCCAAGATATTGCTTAGAATTTTTTCTGTTTACTCTCTATCAGTGATTCTCAGCTGTGGGTATTTCTGCCCCCATGGGACAACTGGCATAATTGGAGACATTTTGGTTGTCACACTAGGGAGAGTGTGCTCCTGGCATCTAGTTGGTACTGCTAAACATCTTACAATGGTCAGAGAGCCCCTTCCCCCTCTCACCCCCCCAAAAAACAAACAAACAAACAAAAAAATTATTCAGCTGAAACTGTGATGGTGCCAGACTGAAAAACCTTGCTCTGTACCAAATATGTGCATGGGGCTATGCCAGATACTAGAACAGAGAGAAAACACTGTATAGCGTGGTCACTGGTGTCAAAGAGCTTATAGTCTAGAACAGTGGCTCTCAACCTTCCTAATGCCGCAACCCTTTAATACAGTTCCTCATGTTGTGGTGACCCCCCAACCATAAAATTATTTTCCTTGCTACTTCATAACTGTAATTTTGCTACTGTTATGAACCGTAATGTAAATATCTGATATGCTATGTGTCTTCCAATGGTCGCGACCCACAGGTTGAAAACCGCTGGTCTAGATGAAGGGACAAAACAAGCATGTTTTTAATTTAAAGCAACATTTACTTATGAACAAAATAGGTGACACATACAAAATTTGTAAAGAAATCACGCAAGCATATCCATATAGATATGTACAGAAAGCCTTGTAGAAGAGGCTTGAATTGGATCTTGAAGCTTGGGTAGAAAGAAGAGGGAGAATACTACCCAAGATAAGGAGAATTGTGCAACAAAATAGGGGACACTAAGGAGGCTTGGCAAGACAAAAATGTGTGTGTGTGGGGGGGGTGGTAAATGCTGGTAGAAGAGTGAGAAGTAGGCAATCATGGGTGAGCGGTATCAGATGATGACGTTCCCTCAATTTCAGACAGAGGAACATACACTTTATCTATAGAAAATGGAAAGTTGAACACCGTCAGTAAAGTTAACAGATAAAAATCAACACTCTGGGAATATTAGCCTGGCGATAATATGTAGAAAGGACTGGAAAAAGTCCAGTTGACATGAGGAAGGAATGATTTGTGTTTGAGACAGGAAAAGACGGGCTTCAGTAACCAGAGTGAAGAGCTGACAAGTCGTAAAAACCAGAGGGAATGGGGTCAGCAGTGACCCTGAGTTCTCAAGTCCCCGACACCTGCTCCTTCCCCTATTGGCCCCGACTGTCCTCTATTCTGGGATATGCTCCCAGTTTCTGGCAATTCTCAAACATCATTTCCTTTAAAGCTCTATTATTCCTGCGAAACTGCTGTGAAGGTTATTTTTGGTGTTTTCTACACTTCCTGACTCACCCTCCCTAACCCTCCCCTCACCTGGATTCCATAGGCCTATTTGCCAATTTTACTCCCAGGTCTTTCCTGCCTACTTGTCACTCCAACAGGACCCTGTACCACTAATGAGCTTTAGACAGTGCTGCTCAGTAGGTATTTAATTTGAAAGCTTGCAGAAGTAAAGAAGGAGAAAAGTGGACAGTATACATGGTAGAGAAATGTGTTTGTTTAAAATCTGATGTTAGACATGGCATGAAATTCAAAGGGAAGCCATTTTTTTCAGAACTGTAAAAATAAATGATCTAGGAGTGCCTTCCAATATAATATTTCAGTCAACTGTACACCTGATAGACGGTTTAGATGCAGTTTTTAAAACAAGTCCCACAATAAGCCATTTTTAAATGTAACTTTTTAAGTCCCATCACCAAGAAATGCAAGTTGAAAAGAACTTTTTTTAAACTAAAAATAAAAAGATTTTTCCATAAATCTTAACAATTATATAGAGAAACAACCTGAATAAATCAGGTATCTGCGAGGCACCCAGATTGCTATATTAAAAAACAAAAAAAGTAAAGATCTCAAAAGCAGTAAATGTAAGTCAAGGTAATCACCTCTCAAAATAAAAGGAATTTGAAAACATCTCTAAAAACATGAAAAAGTAGTTTAGAAAGTACCACTTAAAAACATGAAAAAGTGTATTTGCAAGAGGACACTTTATGAAATAATTCCACCTGAGGCCCCAGGCCCACTGCCTTTTGGCCCCCTGACCAGCCTGATGACTACCCATTTATAGTGCTTTCAGGCACTTCACAGGAACAAATGTTTCTATTGTCCCCCTCCCTCTCGCTGTTTGTTCTCCGTGGAGTGCCCTAATCTTGGGCACATCAAATGCACACATTCCAGGAGGCCAAGGATGTTCATATTTCCTACATGTGTAGGGAGTCAGTACTTTCAAACTGCTGTTTGCACGTCTATCCGACAGGCTATGCACCAAAGTAACCAATGACCTATTTATTAGTCAACAGCTATTAAATGGGATAGGGTAGTCAAAGCTGATATAACCATTTTGTCCTCTTACAAAAAGAAACTGCTCTTAAAAATGCTGTCTAAAAGTCCTTTCTCCTATTACCTTGCTGGCATGAGTCTGCAATGGGATTCAATAAATACGTATTCAACATTTGTTATATCTAATGTAGTCTACTAGCCAAGTGTGGGTGAAATGAGAGTCACAGAGGATATAAACAAATAGCTATGAAACTGTAATACATGGGCCAAAACTTAACAAGAGCTGCTATAGAGAGGTGAGATAAAAGGTGCGGGGAAGCGGGGGCCGATAATAACTGACTAGGTTCTGGAAAAGCCTCCTGCAGGACATGCAATCTGAGCCATGCCTTAGAGGTAACTAAGAGGCAGAGACACTGGGAAGGGGGACGGAGCCTTTGAAAACAGAAGTAGAGTACTGGGGAAGGACAATGAAGAAGGTTCTAGAGAGCCAAGTGAAGCTGTCACGTGAAGCTGTCACATGAAGTGCTTATAACAGCAGATGGGAACAAAAGACAGGCTAGGCAGATCATGAAAGGCAGAAACCGCCCAGTGCTTACAAACATGTGTTCCCTTCTTCTTTAAAACAGACTGGCTTGCCCTGACTGGTTTGGCTCAGTGGATAGAGCATCAGCCTGCGGACTGAAGGCTCCCAGGTTCGATTCCAGTCAAGGGTATGTACCTTGGTTGCGGGAACATCCCCAGTAGGGAGTGTGCAGGAGGCAGCTGATCAATGTTTCTCTCTCATTGATGTTTCTAACTCTATTCCTCTCCCTTCTTCTCTGTAAAAAAAAAAAAAAATCAATAAAATATATTTTATAAAAAAAAAACCTGGCTTTTTTTTTTTTTTCCATGAGGGGATGAGTCCTCCATAGCATGTATGAGTAGCCAAGCAACCAAATTCTGGCCAATTACATGTGAACAGAAGTAACAGGGAGGGGCGTTTGCAATGCCACCTAAAAAGGTCCTGACTAGTATGCCTCCCCGTCTTCTCGCCTGGAATACAGATTTCACAGTGAACTACAGAGGCCACTTTGTGACCACAAGGTAACCTTGAGAATGAAAAAGGGGGCGGAGAAAGATGTCATAACATTAACCCTAAATTGCCATCCTAGCCATCTGGGGCACTGTGCTTTGTGTCACTGTGTTTGTACTTGCAGCCAAATACAATTCCTAACTGGCTATCTCTGAACACAAGACTGTGGAATCTGGACTTAATGTGTGTTCGTCATCAAGTTGGCACATATTTTCTCTGGACACACACACACACACACACACACACACACTGCACAGAAATGAGCCGATCCTAGTAAAGCAGTATAATTTATCAAATTTATTTCATATACAATGCCGTAAAATTATAGAAGTATCTAAAACACATCACTTCTGCATTTAAAGAATCAGACTAGAAAATACATATCCATAATGACACTGGAGGAAAATAACTCCCAGCTTCTGTGCAAACTGGTCCACCCTTTGAGAACCGACTGCACTGTGATGTGAGCTCTCAGTAGCTGGCCAGCACACACCAACCTTACCACCTGCTGTGGATAGCAGGCCAGGAAAAAAAAAAGAATGTGATCCTTTCTCGTGGTCCATTTTGGAGTGTTCTAAAAACATCAAAAATAGATAATACATTTGATTTGGAGGAAAGGCCATATCTGTTGT